GTTGGCTGGATGTTTTTGGTTCTCAGTCCAGCAGTGACACTGAGGTGTTTAAAAACTCCAGCAGCACTGCTGTGTCTGATCCACTTGCACCAGCACAACACACACTAACACACCACCACCGCATCAGTGTCACTGCAGTTAACATACGTAATAACAATTATTTGTAATCATTTTCCGAAACAATAACATCACATGCATGATGCATATGTCCACATGTGACACTGGACAGTAACTACAGTGATATGCACATGTGTAGTGAAGGGTGAAGTGACCGTTCTCATTGCCATGGCCATGTCTCGATTATGCATCTCCGTCTAGGACCACATACAAAAGCATCTGAAATCCGATTTGATGAAGCTCTGAACAAAATCACATCTGCTTCACATTTAAGTAAAAAAATCTGATTTATGTAACTTCAACCCTGTAATAAAAACATAACCTTATTAAGCACATACAGCGCTGACCTACTGATCTACTACAGAAAAACACTGGAACAGGACAACATCCCCTCAGGTGAAAGTGACACATTTAGCCTTCGGACCACCACCGCACAGCCTCGGCACTGTCTTAACTAAACACTACAGCACAATAGCCGGAAGGGCCGCTCCCTGCTCTAACACATCCAGGGAAGCCTGTTTATTTATAAAAGCCTTTGATCTTCATTTTAATCTCCATGAAGAGGCCCAGGGGAGATCCGGGATGCCCCCCGTTCCTCTCTCATAAACCCTGCCTCCACAGACGGAGCCCCATAAAACACTACAGCACTCACCTTTATTTCAAACAAACTGGCATTAGGAGCAGTCTAGGAGAAGGGTTTATGTTAGAGGGCCTGGGAGTAAAACAGACCTTAATTAGATATGGAGGGAAATAAAGAGGGAAATTAGATTTAGTGGCTGTTTTCTCAGAAGAAGGGGCACTAATGTAGGATCCGGCCCGCTCGGTCAAAATAACTGCATTACTGTATTCATTAGAGTGTAAAAGGGAAACGCTGGCCTCAGGTCAGCGCTCTTACGGTGAGTAGTCTGATAAATACAACCTCAGCAAACACTCTTACAGCTGTGCTCTCCAGCTGATTCCACTCAGCGGCTTCTTACAAGGTTTAGTAGGTGTGTTTGAGTATATTATAGTATATAATACATATAAGAGCACAGTGACTTTAAAAGTAGCACGATGCTCCCTTTGTCGCAAATTTTCTGTCATTTTTGTGAAATGGAAGCGTTTAAGAGCAACAACAGCTCAGCCACAAATCAGCAGACCATGCAATCGCCTATGCTCTGTTACAGCACTCACTGAAAAGTTCCAAACTGCCTGTGGAAGCAACATCAGCCAAGAACCATGAAATGGGTTTCCATGGCCGAGCATGTGCACACAAGCCTTAAGAAGACTGTGTGCAATGCCAAGTGCCGGGTGGAGTGGTGTAAAGCACGCTGCCACTAGACTCTGGAAACACATTCTCTGGAGCAATGAATCACGCTTCATTAGCCATGTTTACATGTAGCCTAATTATCTGACTTATGGCTCTATCGGCATGGAATATGTTCATGTATACACCTCAATCGGAATAGACTCGCCCGATTGAGACCAATTGGAATACAATTTCTATCTGATTGACCGAGGTGGGTAATCCTGTAAATAATCCATTAAACAGAATAACAATAGCCATGTAAACACCTGTATCCAATTACATTCCCGATCGGAAAGTTTAAGTACGTTCTGCGCATGTGCGTTCACGTCATAGCGAACGTTCAACATGGCGGGAGCAGAAACTGGTCTGCAGAGGAGACGAAGTTTATGCTCTGATCTTTAAAAGACGGCGGCGGTCCAGCTTATGTGTCTCAGAACACGACGTCTTCCTCTGGGCCTTCTTTAATAAGCACATGTAAAGTACTTTTTCCTGAGTCTGACATCATTTTAAAGCAATTCAAAACACAAGCACTGCTCACTGCTGCTCGTCGCACTCATGCATAGTGCCTACAGTAAAGTTTGGTGGAGGAGGGATAATGGACTGGGGCTGTTTTTCAGGGTTAGGGCCCCTTATTTCCAGTGAAGGGTGACGTTAATGCTACAGCACACAAAGACATTTTCGACAATTACATTCTACTATCTTTGTGGCAGCAGTTTGGGGAAGAGCCTCTCCTGTTCCAGCATGACTGAGCCCCTGTGCGCAAAGCAAGCTCCTGAAAGGCATGGATTGATGAGTTTGGTGTGGATGAACTCCAGTGGCCTGCACAGAGCCCTAACCTCAACCCCACTGAGTACCTTCGGGATGAACTGGAACATCAATTATGAGCCAGGCCTTCTCGTCCAACATCAATGCCTGACCTCACAAAGGCTCTTTAGACAGAATGGGCACAGATTCCCATAGACACACTCCAAAATCTTGTGGAAAGCCTCCCCAGAAGAGTGGAAGCTGTTACAGCCGCAAACTCCATATTAATGCCCATGGTTTTGGAGTGGGATGCCCAGCAAGCTCATATAGGTGCGACAGTCACGTGTCCACATACTTTTGGCCATATGGTGTACATTTCTAATTTGAATGGGACTGAATAGGATTTTTGCCTGTTCTGTAAAGCTTGTCCAACCTTGCAACAGTAGCTACGACCGAATGCATTTGTGGGTGGAGCCCAGATAGACAGCTCCTGCCTTTCAATTCTTAATATATACAGTTAACTTAAGAGGAGTGGTCAGCCACATTACGCTGGAATGCTTGATGAATATGAGCCACTGTTCAGTGTGGTGAAAAGAGCAGCCATGTTTCTGTCTGTCTGTCTCTCTCTCTCTCTCTCTCCCAGATGTGCAACAGCTGTATTCAGTCATGGCCGGGCCCAGACTGGTGGAAGAGAGTGCGTTCCTGCATGCCAGGCTGAGAAGTCAGTCTTTCTTGAACGGACGCCACAGTAACCACAGGGCCCCTGTCTACAGCTCCAAACCAAGCCTATTCATAACTCCCTGCAATCCTGTCTCTGTTTCAGCCGTCTCCTGGAGAACAATCGCACGCTTTAGTTATTAGACTGCAACGCGCCTGTCTGTGCCTTAGTCGTCGCAGTCAGTGCTTTAATAACCGCTCGCGTAACTGCACACGCGCAAGTACATGACATAATGCTGGTAGCACGACAGCTAACCTCATTATTTGGCTATTTAAAGGACAAGGAAGATGGAAGAAAAAACACAACCCTAATGCCAACTGTGGCATGTCTGCGTATTTGTCTGCCCGCTTGTTTAAATAAGCACAAGCCAAATTCACGTCTGACTAGTTTCCTATTATGTAACATTCAGAAAACGGATGATACCACATAGACTTGTGTATCACTGCAGCTTGTTTACAGTAAATCTGTTTATACTGGCCACTCTGTTAGGCACTAGGTCTGACCTGAATCTACACTCACTGTCTAGTTTATCAGCTCCACTTACCGTGCAGGTAGAGCTGTCCTGAATAATTTTAATACTTTGAATATTTGCTTTTTATGTTTATGGTATTTTATTCTCTGTTTAGTATTCGGACGTTTCGTCTTTTCTCAAGCCACAAAAATTGCAGCCTAAAATGAATTTCATTGACAAAAGAATTTAGAAAGAACAGTTATTGTAAATACACTTGTTGAGCACTTTATTAGGTACACCTACCTGATATCTACACTCAATGTCTACTGTATCAGCTCCACTTACTATATAGGTGCACTTTGTAGTTCTACAGTTACAGACTGTAGTCCATCTGTTTCTCTGCATACTTTGTTAGCCCCCTTTTACCCTGTTCTTCAGTGGTCAGGACCCCATGGACCCTCACAGAGCAGGTACTATTTGGGTGGTGGATCATTCTCAGCACTGCAGTAACACTGATGTGATGGTGGTGTGTTAGTGTGTGTTGTGCTGGTCTGAGTGGATCAGACACAGCAGTGTTGCTGGAGTTTTTAAACACTGTGTCCACTCACTGTCTACTCTATTAGACACTCCAACCTTGTGGGTCAACCTTGTAGATGTAAAGTCAGAGACTCATCTGCTGCTGCACAGTTTGTGTTGGTCATCCTCTAGTCCTTCATCAATGGTCACAGGATGCTGCCCACAGGACACTGTTGGCTGGCTATTTTTGGTGCTCAGTCCAGCAGTGACACTGAGGTGTTTAAAAAAGTCCAGCAGAACCGCTGTGTCTGATCCACTCTTACCAGTGCAACACACGCTAACACACCAGTGTCACTGGAGTGCTAAAAATGATCCACCACCCAAACAGAACCAGCTCTATGGTGGTCCTGAGGGGGTCCTGACCACTGAAGAACAGGGTGAAAAGCAAGCAGTCAAGCAAAGTTTATTTATATAGCGCTTTTTACAACAGGTGGTGTCACAAAGCAGCTTTACAAGGAAATCAGTGGCAAGGAAAAACTCCCTAAGAGAAACAGGAAGAAACCTTGAGAGGAACCAAGACTCAGAAGGGGGACCCATCCTCCTCTGGTCAACACCGGATAGTAAAACATTGTTAGTATAAAGACATTGTTAGTATAAGGGGCTAAAAAGTATGCAGTATGCAGAGAAACAGGTGGACTACAGTCTGTAATTGTAGAACTACAAAGTGCTCCTTTATGGTCACTTGAGCTGATAAAATGGACAAAGAGTGCAGATACAAAAAGGTGGACCCAATAAAATGCTCAGTGATTGTATATGGAAAATATAAAAATGTTAAAATGTAATACATCATAGCTGGTTCATGTTATGTAACCTCACTTCAGAGCACAACAAACTGCACTGTTTTATGCGTCCGCTTAGTGGTGGTCCTGGGAGGGTCCTGATTACTGAATGAATGGGGTAAAAAGGAAGCAAAGAAACTATGAAGAGAAACAGATGCACAATCTGTAATTGTAAAACTATGTCTATAAGCCAAGTGAACCTGATGAAATGGACAGTGAGTGTAAATAGAAGGTAGGTGCACCTAATCTACACAAGGTGGAGGTAAAAGGTGGACAGTACATGAACTGGAGTCTATGCAGAGCTAATGAAGTGCTGGTGATTATCACCTTGTCCTTCCCGAGCTGAGGTACTCTCTCCTAATCCAGCGGACACCATGGCGATGACCCCAACACAGGCCAAGGTCCTCCACACCGTTTCCATGGTAACTACAGCTAGCTTCAGTGCGGTGCCCAGCCCTCCGTCCCACCATGTCTTCTGCCTGGGACGTCCCCCCGCTCACCAGAGTGACGCACAGAATTCTGGGGCCATGACAGGAGCTCAGTGCTTTTGTGTGTGTGTGTGTGTGTGTGTGAGTGTGTGTGTGTGTCTGTTCAACTGAACTCCAGGGCAGGTTGGCCAGACACCCCGCTCGTCTGTGTGCGTCAGTACTTCAGTTGGTCCAGGGGGATGAAAGTATAGGATTCTTTTAAGAAAGAAAACAGAACAAAGTCAAAACAAGCTACACAAGGTTTGTAAAAGCATTAACTTTATTCATATCATGATTCTGTATTTTATTTGGAAAATATTATTATTATAATATTAGATTTCATCATTACTGCTCGGCACAATTACAGCAGAATTCCATTGATTTCTGCATAAACAAACAATTAAAATGTAAATGTGGTTTGGTGGGAAATGCTCCATTCTACAGAAAGTAACTGAGCCAAAATTGTTCACAGTGGTGGTGATAGGAACCAGACGTCTGAAGTGTTTAATGCCTGTAAAAGCTCCCTTACAGTGGTCAGTGCAATGTGCAATGGCTCTGATTGATTTTCCCTCTTTTCTCAGCTTCAGAATGGCTTGCTTTTCTCCCACAGGCAGCTCTCAGGTCTTCATGTGGGTTTATCCTTTTTAACCCCTTAAAATCTCAGGCTTATTACATACTAAGGCTTATTATTCAGTAACTACAGGGACTTCAGTTCAAACTGGCTGAGCTATTCTTAGGTTATAAAAGTGTGTAATAAAACTTTGGGCCCTGGCCATTTAAGGGGTTAACAACAAAAGGCATCTTCACTCAGGGCACAAACCAAGGCATTCAGAGCTATTAACTGTTTAAACAAGCAATCCAACAGAGAACACCTGGGCAAACATCTGTCAGTCACACGTTCCAATATTTTTGCGATAGTTTCAAAGGAGACTATAAAAGCTCAGGAGAAATAATAACTAATAAAATGGCTATAATTGTGTTTGTGTCACGACACCTGGTTCCTATCACCAACACTGTAAACAGAGCAGATAGATAGATAGATAGACAGACAGATAGATAGGAAATTGCAGTATTACAGTAGCAAGACAATTAATAGACATTTCATTGCACGTAAACTTACATATATTAGGCTGAAAGTAAAAAAAAATATACATTAAAATAGACATAAATTAGGCAAAAATAAAAAAAAATTACCCATAAGTTAGAGTTAAGTATGATTTGATAAGTTTCTCTAATATTTCACATCAATGACTTTGTTTCATCACAAAGATCGAATAAGGCAGAAATTTTAAAAAGTTGGTGAAAATCTCCTTTAAAGGGTTCAGAAAGCCCAATGAACCACTGTGAATGAAGAAGAACATCTAGAGACTTCCCTACAGTCACATACAGGCTGTTCTGGTTGTTGTGTTTAACACAGGGTCAGGCAACACAGGGAGAGATGGGGTGCGGATGTGGGGGCGGGGGGATGGAAGGGGCAACTATTAAAGAAAATCGGCCAATTTGAGAAACACTGCTACTCATTTCCAGTCTAGAGGGGGCCCAAAGCTCCAGATCAGAGAGAGAGGCCTGTCCGGGGTGGAGCGAGGCCAAAGCCCTGACAGATGAGATTAGAGATATAGACTTTCTGCGGAGAGAGAAGCGCAGCGCCGAAAGATGAGACACCGACAAATTTCTCACACGCTGCTTCCCTCCATCAGCATTACTGAGCTGCAGAAAGAGAGAGAGAGAGAGAGAAAGAGAGGACCCTGAGCCCCTCGCCCCCACCCCAACACCACAGTGCTCTCTCTCTTTATCTGTTTTCTTTACTCTGTCTTTCTTTACGCTGGGTACTGAGCAGAGAGAGAGAAGAAGAGAGAAGAGAGGGTTAGACAAAGAGAGGCAGAGAGAGAGACAGAGCAAGGGGAAATAGAGAAAGAAGAGAGAGAGACAGAGAGAGAGAGAGATAGAGAGAGAGAGAGAGAGAGAAAGAGAGAGAGAAAGAAGGAAAGAGAGAGATAAAGGAAAGATACAAGGAGAGAAACAGAGAAAGATATGGAAGAGATAAAAGGTAGTAGACAGAGAGAGAGAGGGAGAGAGAGAAGGAGATAAAGGAAGACAGACTCAGAGATAAGAGAGAGAGAAATAGAGAAAGATAGGAGAGAGATAAGGGGTAGACAGAGAGAGAGAGAGGCAGAGTGACTGAGGTAGAGAGAGAGAGGGGGAGAGAGAGCAAGAGAGAAAGGAAGAGAGAGAGGGACAGGGAGAAGGGGAGAGAGAGGGGCAGAAGGAGAGTAAAGGGGAAAGAAAGAAGGGGAGAGAGAGAGGGGCAGAGAGAAGGGGGGAGAGAGAGAGAGAGAGAGAGAAGTAGCCCAGATGGCTGGCGGGGAACCAAGTGCAACCAAAGGTAATCAGGAGCAGATGGGAAACGATTTGGCATCAAGACCGAAGGAACAAGTCGCTTTCTAACGTAAAAAAAGGAGAAAACTAGAAAGAGAGAGAGAGAGAGAGAGGGTAAAGCCCATGGGGACAGGCAGGAGGCGGGGAGAGGGGAGACAGAAAGAGAAAAAGAGAGAGAGAGAGACAGGGAAAGAGATAGAGAATAAAAGTGGGGTGCTATTCCGCACTCTTTCATCCAGCTGGGATAACCATTCGCGAACAGCAACATACTGTACAGTACAAACAGTGCGTGTACGTTCCCATGCATTGAGAGCTAAACTGAGTTTGCACCTCCAGCCCCAGAATAAATAATCTTTTTCCCCGTGCTTTGTCTCTGCTTCAGGAAAACTTTGTTTTGGAAAGTTATTTGAAACCACTGCACTGCCCTCTGCTCCGCTGCCTCACTGCCGTCCATGTTAAAGCCTCTGACCACTCGTTTAAAACCTGCTTCATGTGTTCTCAAACGAGCACAAGATCACTCTCTCACCTGTACAGGTGTGCAGATATACACATTATATGTCCAAAAGTTTGCAGACACCTCCTCATCCAGCTTTTTAAAGGTATTAATAGGGAGTTTGTCCCTCTTTGCTGCAGTAACAGCCTTTAGTCTTCTAGGAAGGCTTTGCACTAGATGTTGGAACATTGCTGTGAGGATCTGATTGATCATTAGTGAGGTGCTAATGGTGAATGATCGGGTCTGGATCACAAACTCATTCTGAAAGTACTGGATGGAGCTCCATTAATCCAGAGAAGCCACAGCCCAGTGCTGGACGGCTTTATACCCCACTAGCTCACGCTTGGCACTGGGCATGGTGACCTTAGGCTCATGTGCAGCTGCCCAAGATCCCATTCTATTGCTCAATACTTTTCTATGGAGATTATACAAGCTGCAACTGAACACCTGGGTGCATCTTGAAGTAGCAGTAGAATACACAGCAGGGGCATCTGGATTTTGGGCATATAGTGAAGATGCACAGTCATATATGATCTCATCATATTAAACATGGTTAATCATATCTAGGGATGCAGTGATTGTACATTTTTATGACTCCAATTCCGATTACTTTACAGCCAAATTGACCAACGTTTATTACCCCCTTTTAAATCCTCACAATGGCACATTTCCAGAACTTTTCATTAGCCAAACTTGCAATATAAACAACATTAGGGGTGAGCGATACAGCGAAAATGTTATGATACTTTGAGACATTTTACGATACACTGCACATATCACAATATCCTAACAATGCAAAAACAATGAATCAAAAACTAAAATCATGTTTTAATTAATAGTTTAATGTTTCACATACTTCACTGTGCTAATCTAATTAAACAGGATTAATTATGCTCTGTAATAATCAAAAACATGCATTGTGGTGCTGAGATTATCCACGATAAGCATATTGAGTGTCAGGTTAATAAAATGTATCACAATAACAATAAAAATATTGTCATATTCTCCACCTCTAAACAATATTATTTGCTCTTTAATGGGCCAAACTGATATTTAGAATGTTTTACTTTTATCTTCTTCAATAACCAGGAGTTACAGAATAATAAGGCTTTGTATGTAAAAAGCCTGGGATTTTAAGGGTTAAATAATTAGCCTTTTTAGCTACTATGAACCAAATAAAGTGCTACATTGAAAAAAGAGGCGACTGGTTATTTATCACAATAAGACATGTATAGTTACAATACAGTATTTCTGGTGCAGGTATAGCAGCAGCACTTAAATACAGTGTGAGTGCTCACACTGCGACAGAGACCAGCCAAAATAAAAATAATGAAAAGGCCGACTGCTGAGCCGAATGTGCCGAAGTCCAATCTTGGCTAGATCTGATTGTGCACTCCTGATCATGTTGTTTCACTGTAAAGAGGTGTGAGAAGCACAAGTGCTCAAACGTCTCATTAACATAACAGCACCAACACAAAGTTTGTTGTTAATTATCATCCTCTTTGAGGATCCAGAGGTGTGTGCATGTACAGGGGCCGGTGCAGGGGCCAGGGTAGGGGGGTAGTTTGGTTGTGCGGGGGGCTGGAAAGAGGTGGATGCAGGTTTAAGGTTGCCCTCATTTCCTTTGAGCGCCAGTCAAATGGCCCCAGTTCAGCAGGGAGTCTAAAACACTGAGACGTCTTTGTCCCCCCCCGACTCTATACCAACTACAAACAGCGAACACCTACAGTGGGCCCCAATCCTCTCCTCTCTTCTCCTTTTCTCTTCTCCTCTGTTCTCTTCTCTACTCTCCTTGCCTGTACTTTTCTCTTCTCTTCCCTTTTTCTCTCCTCCCCCTTTTCTCCTTTTCTCCACTCTTCTTGTTTCCTCTCTACTCTTCTCCTCTTCTTTTCTTTTCTCTTTTCTTTTCCCCTGTTCTCTTCTCTTGTCCCCTTTTCTCTTCTATATTATTCTCTTCTCTTCCGTTCATTTCTCCTCTTTACAAGGCTATCCTTTAGTTCTCCTCATCTTTTCTTTTTTTCCTCTTTTCATCTCTTTCTCTTCCACTCTGTTCTCCTCTGTTTTCCTCTCTTATCTTCTTTTCCCTTCTCTTCTCTCATCTTTTCTTCTCTTCTCTCCTCTACTCGTATCCCCTTTTCTCGTCTCTTTCCCTCTCCTCTATCCTCCTCTCCTCCCCTCCAAAACCCCAGAGGCTTTTCCTGCTATTTGCTTCTTGGCAAACGTCCCCTTGGTTTCATTACTTCTTGTTAGAGACTCATTTTATTGTGTGGTTATTAGACTGGCAGTAACATATCCAATGGTTTTCATTAAAGCATTCTCTCATCTCGTACTCCGCAAACAAAAGCCCCTCTAATCGGACCCCCCTACCTTTTCCTTTGTGAGTTTGGAGCACAGTTGTTGGCTCTGCCTTTATATGAGAAGTTTATCCTCACTTGTTCACTCTCTCGCGCAAATATGACTCACCATGTTCACAAACTCATTCATTCACTCCTTCGCATGGACACATTCACTCATTCGTCCCTTCATAAAGAGAAACAATAGAATTGCAGTTTAGAGTGCTGTAACTCTTCCAAAATATTTTCTCACTTCTCTCCCTGTGGTTTGGTGTGGAAAAACAGGGAAACGTACAATGAGGTATAGCTGACTGTAGTACAGACTGTAGTACAAATTTAACACAGTCCATCCCACCGTCCACCTTCTAAAGATTCTGGACCTTCAGGCCAATCACAAAGCTTTAAGACCATTTGCAAATCTGGATAATTTCATTGCACCAAACAGCTTCACAAAACCCCATCAACCAGTAACCAAGAATTTAAGAGCATAGCGTACTCCCTGGCCACTTTATTAGAAACACCTGCCTTGTACTTCCACTCACTGGTCACTTTATTAGAAACCTCTACCTTATACTTCCACTCACTGGCCACTTTATTAGAAACACCTACCTTATACTTCCACTCACTGACCCCTTTATTAGAAACCTCTACCTTATACTTCCACTCACTGGTCACTTTATTACAAACACATACCTTGTGCTTCCGCTTACTGGCAACTTTATAAGAAACACCCTGTACTTCCACTCACTGGCCACTTTATTAGAAACACTTACCTTGTACTTCCACTCGCTGGCCACTTTATTAGAAACACCTACCTTGTATTTCCACTAACTGGCCACTTTATTAGAAACATCTACCTTGTACTTCCACTAACCAGCCACTTTATAAGAAACACTTACCTTGTACTTCCACTCGCTGGCCACTTTATTAGAAACACCTACCTTGTATTTCCACTCACTGGCCACTTTATTAGAAACACATTCTTTTATATAATTATTTATTCATTTGAATGATCTATAATAACTATGGTAACATTTACAGTGCCCTGAAAGTGATAATCATCACATTGCAAAAGGGAACCGAGAGAACTAGAGGGCTAATAACATTTCAAACAGCTTGCTAAATAATATTAAAAGTTTTAAAATTCTGAAATTATAATATTTCATGGTTTCCTAAAGGCATCTAAAGCTGAATTCCAGAGCGCCTCCACTACAATGACGGAAAACACCAAGCACTGTAATACATAAGGCGCTTGAACATAGAATTGGAACTCCTGTCTAGCAGTCCGAAGTTTCTCCTGTCATTCAGAGAAGAAACAGCCACGAACCCACACTAGCAGGATCCAACCAAAGCACAGGTTTGCAGTAACAACTTTCAGTATTATTAAGAAAGTTCATTACCAAAAGATGTTGAGTTACTCAGTATTATTTACATGATTTCCATCTAAGACCTCCATTGAATTGTGCAACAGATGTGCAGTTTATACAATGCACTTTTAGAGTAAGACACAAAACTGTGTAAATCTGATCTATTTCAGCCAAACTATCACTTTAAGAATGAGTGTAATTTGTGAATTGCGGCAGTCCTGAAGAGCTGGTGAGCTGTAACCGCATCTGATGGAAGCCCATAATCTGGTTGTGTCCTTGTGCATAATGTGAAGCAGAGAAGGTAGACGTGAGTGTGTGGTGTGAGAGCACAGGCAGAGGGGTATCAGGCACCAGCGGACTTCACTAATCAAACCCATAAGCCTCTGCTGCACGTACAGGGTTCTCATGAGAGCAGAACTCCCGTCTTTTCTTTTTTCCCCTCGCTCTCTTTCTCTTTCTCCCTCTGTCTAATACACACACAATCAATCTCAATCTCACCATCTCTCTCGCTCTGCGCTGAAATGCTCTCTGTCTCGCGGTCTCAATGCTCTACAAAACACTGCACTGCAAAATCAAACACTGGACAGCAGGCGAGATCCAGATATTTCTGGGCCTTTTTCTGGACATTTTTGCCTTCATCTCCCTATTTGGACACAATATCTGCCCAGCAATGGGAAAAAAGGCATTTAATGGAAACGAGCCAGAAAACCACTGGCCTCCACAAACACACAAACCTCATCTACGGACAACAAGCTTCAGTTAGACAAGTAGGAATATCTCCACTACTGTGAAAAAGTCAGAGACCACCCTTTATTTATGTAATTTCCAGTCGAAACAGCCATTAAGTAGTGTGTCCACTTTTTGCCTTCATTACAGCTTTCATTCTTTTCAGAAGACTCACTTTCAGTTTCACTAAGAAATCTGCAGACACGCCTCCAAAGTTCAGTCTTAGAAGCTGGTTGATCATTTTCTGAAGTAATCAAACACATTCAGTGATGTTGAGGTCTGGGTGGTCAGTCCATTGTTCAGCTTCTTCGTTTGATGTGTCCGTCTCCTTTTCTCAGTGAGGTTCTTCTTGAACAGCTACACATCCTTTCAGACCCATAGCGCTTAGTCGTCTTCTCACAGTGGAAGGATGGACAGAAACACCTGTGGATGTTTTCAGATCTGAAGCAGCTTGATTTTCTCCTCTCTCTCAAAGATGAAAGCTTTAAGGGCTGTTTATCTGATGGGGGCAGTTTTGGTGCCTACCAGGTTTTGTACAATAGCTAGGGGTCCAATTTTCTCTATATCTATTCATTTTTGAGCTCTAGTTTTGGAAACTCCTGTATTCACCTCCTCATCAAAAACATCTGAAAAAATGAATGACTTGTACTTAATGGCTGTAATGGAAATTACAGAACTGGCCTCTGACCTGTGCACAGTACTGTAAGTGTGGAGCAAGCCGGAAGCATTAATGCAAAAAAAAACAATGGCAGTGACCGTCCAGTTTCCCCAAATAAACAAGGCCCTCATGAGAGAATGTAGAATGAGAGGGAGCGGCAATGGGTGCGGATGCAAGCTCAGCTAAAAAGGCCCGTGATGCAACTTCTAATGAACTCAATCAGCCATGAATCAGTCAGCAAACAGAGGCATGAGCAGGGCATGTTTGTGAACAGCCGCAAGCTGTACAGCATTAGCTCCCTTCCCTTTGACATTCAGCAGCATTTTTTTTTTTCAGTCCAGTGAAACAGTTCAGTTCAGTCTGACTGCTCAGACATCCAGCCATGTGACTGCCAGAGAGAGGGAGAAAGGAGGGGAGAGGGGTCTGGGTGGGATTTCTTAGAAAGTTCTGATTTCTTCTGATCTTTGCCAGCAGAGCAGCCTGAAAGGGTTCTAAAGTAAAAAGTGTTCAATGAAATCACTCAACTATGAGCTACCAAAAAGCAACTTCAATAAAAAAGCAGCAGGTCCTCCTCCTCCCTGAGCTCCCTATGGAACTGCAGAGGAACATCAAGCATCTATCAGCACTGGAAGTGAAGTTTATTAGACTCTGTTCTTGATGCCAAAAAGGTTCAGGAGCTGAACCAACACAGGAGAAATGAAAACAGAATTCCATGTTTCTTTTCTGCTTATTTAAACTGTTAAGATGTAAACAAAGTCATTCAGAGTGGTTTGGTGTGAAACGCTCCATTCTGGAGAAACTTCAGAGAACTGCTCGCAGTGGTGGTGATAGGAACCAGACGTCCAAAGCGTTTAAAGTCCCTATAAAGCTCCCTCACAGAAAGTTAGCACACGAAATGGTTATGAATCCACTGCCTGATGCCTGAGACCTTGTTTTACAATAGTTTTGAGACAGGATTTGGCCTAAAACATAGTATTTCTTATTGCATTCATGGTGGAAACGTACACACCATCGTCAACATTACTCAGAACTCAGAAGAGACGTGTAGGTTCACTGGTGGTTCAATAAACTGCCTATATATTGTGTTGTAGACATGGTGACCCCTGGTTCCTATCACCACCACTGTAAAGAAATCTGAGTGTCCAGAATAAACCATTTCACACAAAACCACTCGGAATGACCTTGTTTACAATTGAATTATGCAGAATTTTTGGAAAAAATTAGCTAAATTCACCTTTAAATGCAAAAAAGAGAGGATTATTTGCCTCTGAAATGTGCCTGAGTAGAAGTTAACACATTAGCAGAAGTACCACTCAACTCAACAAGCAATATCTCTAACTAGAGCCTCTAAAGGGTCAAATGTACCTGACCAGTGTCCCTCTCTGACCCCTAGCTATCCTAAATGTGGTACCTACTGCAGCCCAACAGTCTAATAACTAACAAGTCGATCACTGGAGCAGGGCAGCACTGGTCAGACATTTCCACATTTCCACCTTCCAACTTGATCAACTGACCTGTGGGAGGGGTTAACTGTCAATCAATTACTGTGATTGGCTTTAATTAGCATATCTCACCACACGGACAAGCCTTTAAATGAATAAAAAGGAACCGAATATCATGAAAGCACCCTGCACTTGTGTTAAAACCCCACTCTGTTAGTAAAAAACAAAATATCTAACTTATTAGAGTGAATTTAGCATTTATATTCGGCCTGTGATGCCATGTTTTGACTTGATATTGGTTTAAATTGCCTTAGTTATCACATTAGCCAGCGTTAATCAGTCCATTAGAACCTACAGCACTGAATGAACTCAACAGTGTTGAATGAGCTGCTGGGCTGTGAACACTGTAGGTGTTAATTCAACAGTGCAGAAAGAAGTTCATTCAGCTGTGCAGCTGCTTTGCCCAGTGGTCACAAACTCAATCAGGGGGTCATATTATTAACCTCAGGTGACATCAGCCGCTCAGATGATCTAATAAACGCCTTTATCAGCCCTATAAGCAGCCCTGCATTGCACATTTCTGTTTTAGTGATCAGCAGCAGTGATCAGCAGGGATCAGCAGGGATCTGCAGGCACTGTTTCCACTTCACCAGACTGCACGCAAAGCCGTGACAGCAAAAAAGTCAAATCAGGCTTAATAACAATGCCGTAAGCGTTTATATGCTACTACCTCTCCGTGTGGCTGTCCGGGGATTACGCAGCACTTCTTCTCGTCTCTGAGGTTTGTCGACGTCCTCCTAGTTCACGGCCACATGCTTAGAGAAGTTCTGCTCCGGTTCTGCGCGGTGGCTTCGCGATTTCTTTCTTTTTTCGCCTCTTTTCTCTCCCTCACTCTCTGTCCGGGAGAACGCCGCTCCGTGTTGCCGGACAGACAGCAGCAGTAGCGGGAGCTGAACGCGGGGCGGAGCTGCGCCGGCGGACTGTTTTTTTTTCCGCCTGTATTCAGGCAAACCCCGCCCTCCCGTGCTCGGATTGGCTCTCACAAAGCCGTGTCTGCTTCTTGAGCACAACTGGTTTCAGGACGCTTAAGCCCCGCCCTCTTACGCATGAATTTGCCAGTAGTTCTGCAGACAGGCGGTCTAGGCAGCTAAAGCCCCGCCCCTTGCGTCTCGGATTGGCTAGTGTTTCATACTCGTAAAGCAGCCCCGTGTTTGAGAACACTATAGCCACGCCCACATAGATATACACACATACATACATACATACATGCAAGCATATCTATACAAAAGCCCAGTCCCATTTCTTATTTTCACCCCTACCCCTTGTTTTCGAGGGTCACCTTTGCCCCTTGGAACTAAGTTAGAAGGGGTAGTGGTCGAGATCTTCCTCTATGAAATGGGACCCTCAAATAAAAAGAGCATTACTTCATTAACAGCTACCAGCGCTGCTCTGTAGGCGACCCTGCCAGTCTGCAGTGACAGCAGAGGAGGGTAAAGTTCAGCTCCTCACTGCTGGGCTTTAGTTACATTTAGGGCATCATATGCCTTCAAAGGGGGGGGGGGCAATTATTTATTATTACCCACCCCAATTCCTCAGTGATATGAAGCTGAAATCAGCTATTCGCCAACTTTCTTCTTTGAATTTTCCTGTTCCACCTTAAATGGTGCAGCATGAGGTGTCAGAATGTAACTGCTGCACCATTTAAGGTGGAACAGGAAATTAAGCTAGCCAGCTACTAAGACATCAGCTACTACTAGTAATTTTTTACGCTTGTTATGAAGAAAACGACCATAATACACTGAAACAACATTAATCTAAGTTTATACAATGGTTATCGTAATTTTTAACAGAGAAAATTCTCACTTTTGTCGGTTTCTTTGGTCACTTGTTCAGCCATCTTGCTGGGTTTTTCTTTTTTTCTCATAACACTCTGAAAGACCTCCATTTGAAGGGTCATGTAGCCCTAACACTGGGCCCCACCCCTTTATCTCAACAAAAATCGGGACATCCTACCCCTAGATGTGAACGCGCAAAACAGAGAGGTAAGGACTAAGTGGTAGGGGCGAGGGGTGAAATGGGATTGGGCCTAAGAATTCCCAGTTCTAGAAACAGTCCTTCTAGAAAGAAAAGCCCCGCCCCCTACACTCAAACTGACCACCATAGTCCAGGTCTCAGCTTGATTTCTCTATGGCAAAAAAAGTGGGTCACCCTGTGGTAACTAAGAAAGATTAGTTTTGTCCTGTGTACATTTTTCTCCCGAATATTACTGGACTTTCTGAACTATGAGGTTGTTAAAGAGTCGAAATATGAATATTGCTACCTGCAAGCTAATCCTGCTGCGCTGCAATTTCACATCAATAAGCTATGTGGAAGTAAGACAGGCTATGGCAGTGTCCTGACAAATTGTTCCAGAGCCGGTGTGGGGCTCAATCTCACAACCCGTCCTGATCTTACTTCCTCTGGTTTACGATCACAGTATTCGTAGTGTTATTAGAAGAATCAGCAGCTGTCGATCAGCAACTCTGGGAAGAACCTCAAAAGGTATAGGTAGACAAGTGTGTGCCTGACTTTTTGTGAACTTAAAAACGTAAATGTTTTACAGTTAATGATAATGAACACGTGCCGACCTGCTAACTCTGGTCGAGAGTCCTTTGAGAGTGAAATCAGGATGGGGATGTGAGTTTGAGCTTCACAGTGGTTTATGAGAAGCCTGGGTTCTTCCTATTTACCCCATTATATCAAAAACATGACTGTAACGCCTCAGAGGGCGCACGCGAGCGAGTCCTCAATGAATGGGGGTGAATGGAGCTCAACGGCTAAAAGCAAATAGTTTCTAATCTCTCGCCCAGAACTTTCCTTTCATTTTAGAAAGTAAGAAGATGCATTTCACTAAAAAAGCAAAGAAAATTCACCTGTATGTTTCCTTTTTTCTACAACAAATGAGTTTTGGGCAGTTTTTAGGACGCTAACATTATTGCGTGTGAGTGCTGATTGGTTGGTGAGCAGAGCAGCTCATTGGCTGTTCGTGCTCACTGATGTCACTAACTGACATCATGGATGTACATGAGGCGCTGTTTTCAACTCCTATAACTCGAGTTCAAATGCTCTCAAAAATAAAATATAAATAATAAAATTATTATAATATAAAATAAAAAAATATAACACTGGTGTTAAAATGTTTTATGCGGTTCTGTGTTCAGGAAATGATTGAATTCTTTTACATTAAATATGTTTAAACATTTATAAACTATGATTTTACACAAATGCTCCATCTTAACCCGTTCGTTTTTTCATCTCTATAGGTTCTATAGGAAAATCTCATATTCATAAAGCCAGGGCTGTGAAGTCTAAACCTAATTTCACATTTTTTTGTTTTGATATTGAGTCCCTTTACACCTCTATAGACCACATGTCAAGGCCTTTGAACAGCAAAGCTACTGAAAGTCACAGCATAGTGAATACTATTGTAGATAAA